GGAGACCTCTCACCAAGCACAGGTTGCTGTCAAAGATAACAGAACGGGCAGAAAGCATCATTGACCAAGAGCTGATAATGCCACGAGATATACTTAAAGAACTGCAAAGTGCATGAAGCAAGTATCATAAGTGCACAGTACTGCCATTGTCCTGGTTGGAGGATGCACGGAAAGGTCGCTTGTTCAATGCGATAACAGGCTAAAATGTGTCACGATCTCGCTACACAACAAGAGTATCGGTTGTGAATTCTTCAACTCGAAGATGTTGAACTTCCGCTTGTTTGGTTCGGACGTTATGTGCTAATCTGGGTCCAGCGAATAAAAGGCGGTCATCTTGTCTTCTGCAGAAACACAGTTGCCATTATGCTATCAATCTACCAAAGTGCTCCGAGTAAATTTTATTGGCATGGGGCATAAAATATATCAGCACTGCGTTTTACTAATTAGTTCATTGCCTTCCAACAGTTTTGTCTTGTTTGTCTGTCCAGTTTAGTTCTCAATTTGGGATCTTTTGGTGTGATATGAGGATGGCTTTTAAACCCTCGAAAAGCCAAAGGGTTCAAGCTGTCTATCCCTCTATGAACAGCAACCAACTGATATAATGAGATTAAGGGATCGTGAGATTTGACATCAGGAGGACTTGTAAATGTTTCATCTGTCAGTTTACTCCTTTTGAATATGATGGGTGGGCGATCGAGTGGGATCAAAGACTTTTCGGATTCGGCTTCCTGATCACTCTCATATCTCCAATCATTCTTCGGATTCGGTTGTACATCATCGCACATATCCTCATTGCCAACGACTTAGTCTTAGTCAGCGTCTTCATCGTCATCTTCATCCTCGTTATCGCATCTTATGGGGGTGCGCCATCTCTCGAATCTTGTGCGGTAGCAAACACGTTGATCGACACCCTGATGATTCGTCGAACAACATCCTTCATTTGCTGAATTTCATTCTTCAGCCCGGAATGGCTCTCTTGGCACCTCGTTAATGAACCATAGAAGATGAAAGCGTTGTAATGAGATAATGTTCTAATTCTTCGTTTCTATACTTTACATTTCTAAGTAGTTCTCACCTCTCGATAATCAAGGTTCGATTTTGATTATACACAAACAAACTTGGCACACCAATAAAAGAACAAATACCTTATAATGCCTCCTCCTTTTCCATGGACGCCTTTCATAATGTTGAATATTTTAATAATTTTGAAAAATTAAAAGATTATTTTGTTACGGCTTTAACAGTAGAATTGAAAGTAATTGCTTTGCAATGGTTTTGTAATGGCTTGATTTTTAAATATCAAAACCGCTTGATTATTTTTGGTGGGTTAATACTACGAAAAACTCCAAACTAGTACATTTGACAATTTTACTCTTAATTAGTTTCTGTTAAATTTTACCGTCTAATTTTTGAGTTGGATGACCCTGGGCAGTTGACGGATGTATCGGTTTGGGGTTTTATCATCTGTCTAATTTGTGATTTTTCATAATATTAATTCAATTTAACGGGGGGTAAATTTATCATAAATGTACTGGTTTGGAGTTTTTGGTGATCAAAACATAAGTTTAGAGTTAATTTGTCATAAGTGTACTAGTTTGGAGTTTTTCATGATATTAGCCCTGATTTGTTTCTCACCAACCCTCTCTTTCATTTACCTGTAAATAGAACCTCTAAACAGCATTCCAAATATACACACCTCAACAAGAAAATTCTCTTTCTCCTTCCGTTTCTTTTCCTTGCTGGGTTTTACAGATAATTTTATTGTTCTCGTTCCCTCTATTATTTAGTGCAAATAAAGAAGAAGGTATGTTATATCTTGGGAGGATAATCACTATAACTTGTTGCACCGAATTTCATACTACGAGGAATGGAATTATTTTAAGAAAAGTGCTTGCACGCCTTAGATATTTGATCTTAATTTTCGTCTTCTTCAAACTTTTCCGACAATCTACGCGATCTTCCCTCAAGTCAACCTCGATTCCTCGCACAACAACGATGGCGATGCCGACTCTCAATCTATTTTCTGCCCTTCTTCGTTCTTTCTTTCTTTTCTTTCTTTTCTTTTGTCTTATTTTTTTCTCCTATTTGTTAAGTGAAATTTCATACCAAAAAAAAAAAAGTGAAACTTCAGAATTTTAAAAGTGAATAATAAATTATTAGATTGAAAGGACTACCGGTTGCACTTGTAAAGTGTTTTAATTTGAATGAAGGGCTACGATCACCACTTGTACTTGAATCCGATGGTCCAAACTTATTAAATTAAAGCACTTTTTGGTGCTCTATTTGAAGGAAACGAGGTTGTGCCTTTTCTTTTCAATATTCTAAAATGGCCAACACCTGCAAAGTGGACTTTTTCGCCTTTGGTCAATGGCTTGCTGCTTTATTTTGTAAATATAAAAATTAATTTACGAATATAAAAACACTCATTGGATTAAATACGAATAAAACACAAATTACATTTTTCAATTTTGTTTTAAAATTACACGTACAAATACACACTGATTGAAAACAAATTGCAACAAAGAAATTATCACATTAACATGATGGCTTCAGCGCTAGACCTGTGAATCTTATCATGAAATCAGATGATTAAATGTCATACATATTATAAATCCAATTTCTCACCGTTGCCAAAATCTGCTTAACCTAGATCTCCTCACCTAGCCCCAAATTGTCGTAATATGGGGTAAGCAAAGTTCTGAGCTCGGACAACTTGAACCTCGACTCTCATTATATATATGGAATCACTTTGCAAATCGAGTGAAAATGGTAACTTTGTAAACATTTGGAGTTCGGCGACACGATTCACAATTGCACCGATCCAATGGCATATGATGACACGACACTTGTAATCGGTAGGACTGGTCTACAAATTAGAAATCGATAGTCCCGAAAATTACCCGTGGAAAGAAGAAGCACCAACTCATTCCTTTTCGCTTTGTACAGTGACTTGCATTTTCTTCTTCTTTCGTCCTCAGAACAAGTTTGAATTGAGGTGGCATCGTAGTTTGCACGTTGCAGATGGACTAGAGCTCTTCCGCGAAGCCAAACGGCCGATCAGCGACAAAGGGTAATAGAATTCGTCCCCTTGTCACACTTGAACAGGCTGATGGTATGTGGCGTTGTACTTGAAATGCTACCCCGAGCCCAACCATCTCTGCGTCACGTTTGGCTTGGTGCCTCCTCAGGTGGCCCGTTTTACTTTAGGATTCAGTAAACAATTTGGCGCCACATACCGTACAAACAGCCTTCTCAATACCACTGGTCTCGACCTTGATCTAAATTGTCCTCTAGGCACAAGATGTTCTTCTCTGCATAATCTTCGCAAAGGTTGCTTAGAGGGTTTTTTTTTTTTTTTGTGGGGTTGGGGTTAGGGTGTTTCGTTTGGGTAGCATCTTGGCGGTGATTCCAGAGACTAAGGTGGCGAATGACAACCATTCTGTTTCAAAAATCATTTTCTGGCAAGAAATAGATTTTTCTATTTCCGTTCATGGATGAGTTTCTGAGGAAAAAAACACGTTTGATAACGAAATAAAATTTCTGGTCCCGAAACAAAAATTTGTTTGATAACAGCACAAAATTTCTCCCTCTCGGGTGGCAGGCGAGTGGACGGCGGGCGGATGGCTGCGGCGGACAGTGGCAGCGAACGGCGAGTGGCGGACGGCAGGGGGAGGTGGCGGCGGACAGCGACGTGGCCAGTGCGGAGGACAGCGGCCGGCGACGGGAGGAGGGCAGTGGCGGGAGGAGGGCGGCCGGCAATGGGAGACGGTGGACGGTGGGCGGCGGCGGGAGGAGGGTGGCCGGCGGTGGGAGGTAGGCGGCGGTGGGAGGAGGGCGGCCAGTGGCGGGAGACGATGGCCGGTGGACGATGGGCGGCGGCAGGAGACGACGAATGGCCGGAGGCGGTGGCAGGCAAGTGGGCGGCGATGGGCGGCAGGTGGGCGACCGGCTAGTAGTGAGGGCGAGCGATGAGAACAATTTTAACTTCACATTTCTGTTCGAGAAATAGAAAAGTAGAAAATTTTAACTTCTCATTTCTCTTGCAAACCTATTTCTGAAATCAAAATTTGTTCCAGAAATAGAAAAATAAAATTGCGTTACCAAACGGATTTTTGTTCCAAACCTGTTTCTGGAACAGAAAAATAGAAACAGAATGGTTATCATTCGCAGTCTAGTTCGTTCTTGCAACTCCTTCCAATCGTCCACTTATTGTGTCTTGTCGGATGGTCTTGCTGTTCCAGTGGAGGCAAAGGTGGAGTGGGCGTGGACACATCGTCCTCGTGGAACTCATTGAACGACTCGAACATGTTTTGCTCGATGAAATTCACACCGTAGCCGAATAATTCAAAACATGTTTGTCAGTTGCGATATTTTTTATAGCGCCATTGTATCATTTGAACGAGAGAGGGTAAAAAATGAGAATGATGGAAGGTTTAAGAGAGTGGAAGCCTTAGGAAGCGATATGCGAGTCAAGAATAGTGAAAATGCAAGATGAAGAGAGCTAAATTTATAGGAAAATCTATTGTGTTTTTTCTTCCAATGGTCACTCTATCCAAATTAGTGCCACATGGGCCCAATCGTCGGAATTAAGATAAGAACAATTTTAGGTCCTGGTTGCCTTATTAGAGCCACAACGGATGTGGACTGGTCCAAGTTCAGTTGTTGCGAAGAGATCTCTCCAAACAAGAATAGGCCTATCGTAAATTGTCTCTTCTATTATGAAGACCACACCCGATCGCATAGGCTGTGTCATGCTTAGGCCAGCACGTCTCTTTGACAAACTTAATCCTTAAGTTATCGTTCCAGCCAATTTGACTTGAAAAGGGTCATATCAATCCCTTCTAAACAATAGAACATTAAATTTGATCAAAATTAAAATCCAATGAGTGAAAATGAACATCGAAGTAGAGTTCTAGCACTATTTTTTAAAATCATGTCCCTAAAATCTTTAAAAAATAATAATAAAAAAAAGAGAGTCCAAAACAAGTGAGCGAGCGAGTCTTCCTCTTGCTGACCCAACATTGTCTTTCTTCTTCTTCTTCTTCATTCAATAAGTGCTTCGCCGGAGAGCGCCACATCCGGCCATCCAGATCGCCGGCAAACGCAGCCTGACGAGCGATTCCGGTAACCCTCGATTCACAATCGGATTTGCTCCGCGGCTATGTCTTTTTTTTTTTTCCTGGGTTTTTTGTTTCCGTCGCGGACGGATTTTTGAATTCGTGAACGCACTGCTTTGAGGGTCTTGGCCCGTAACGAGGTGGGCTGTTCCGATTTCGGTGGCGTGGGCAGGTCTCGCCGGGACAGTACTTGATTCGACGGCGATGGACCAGGAAGCTGCCCGGACCGCCCGGGAGTCTCTGGACCTCGCGTTCCACATGTCGAACATCCTCGACACGGGGCTCGACCGCCACACCCTCTCCGTCCTCATTGCCCTCTGCGACCTGGGCGTGAACCCGGAGGCGCTCGCGGCGGTCGTCAGGGAACTCCACAGAGAGCCTTCTCCGTCCGTCGTGGCGATGCCGAGTCCGCATCAGGTTTGTCGCCATCTCTGGCCGGTCCCTCGGGCTGGTTCGAGCACTAGCTCTTAGTATGCAATGCCTCTCTTTTTGAAGACTTTTGAGTATTTTGTCCGATGTTTCTGCCTTTTCTTTGTTCGAGCACTGCGTCAATGACGCATAGAGGATAACCCACATTGCACCATATAAGGGGTAAAAGACTATAATTGCTGACATTGTAGTTCCTTGAGAACTCGCATGCCATTTCCCGGCTTTTTATCTGTCAATGTCCACCTGGAACTTCCATTTTCAACCCATTTAGGAGACATTTTCTAGTGGATCCTCTTGGGAAGATCATTGGCATATTTTCGAATGTGTCACCTGCAGTATTTAGGAATTTCTTCCAGGTTGTAGCCATAGAGTTTTCTGTAAGATGTTTCCCAGCTTGTGTTGCTGTATAGTTTTGCAAGAAACAATGTCGATATTCTCAAATTACCTTAGCATGATTCATCATTCAGAAAAATGTGAATAGGTTGTCCTGAATTGCATTACTTCTGTAAATAGCATCTTTGGGTATGCTGAAATTTCGAACTTTTGGGTAGTTGAGTCCTTTTGAGCTTTTGAAGTTCAGTTTTTCCATACAATTTCTGCCCTGCGAGAAAATCGCCAGTAAATTGTACAAGGGGAGTACTGTATACCCTCTTTTTGTTACTTATCTGGAGTACAAGTTCAAAAAATATTTGACGGTAAAATTTTGTGGCCGGTGAATTAGTTGAAGGTGAGGTAGACTAAAGAACTGAGGGACTCTTTATCTTTCCTATTAGTTAGATCTGCCTGGTCATCCTAATGTGACCTAAGGTATGTGCCTCTCCTTAAAGGAATTTGCCCTTTCCATTTGCACAGATAAATATACTTGTAATTTAACAATCTGCTATTGGCCCAGTGGTGCCGCTGTTCCTTACATCTACATTCCTTTGCAAAAGTACTAGGTTACTTGGCAGTTGATACATATGAAGCATGTTGTGGCACCATACTTTACACATGCGTGATTCGCTTAGACATTAATGTTGCATCTCTTTCAGGTAGATTATTAAGTTCTTGTGATTGATTAGAGAGCTATGGTGAAAAAAAATTCAGACCGGCCGCATCAATAAGATTTCCATATTGTTCTTAAGATTTACAGTTTCTGAGCAATGGACACAATTCTGGATGGATGTCAATTTTCTCTTAAATCCATGCTCTTAATCCCCTTCGAAGCTCCTTGTGATGGGTTCCTGACATCGTTGAACAACCATGGGCCAAATTATGACCTGCGTTTTCATTACTACTTTGCAGACTCAAAAACAGTGACAAAATGCATGTCTTGCGTTGCAGTGACAGCAGCACGACTGAAGATTTGGTAAGGCGGTGCTCTCTTTTTCAAGGGCAGATTAGTTGTTCACGGACAAATCCTAGCTTCCTATATGCAAATAAAGATCTCTGCTCCTCTGTTTCTCTGTTTGAAGAGATTGTCCATCTTGAAGATGTTACTTAATGGGTTGTTGCATGCGTGGCTAGTTTTTCAATTTGCAGAAGTCTGTCCTTGTCTACTAGGAATCTACAGCAAATACAACGTGACTAGTAGTGAATATGCTTATCTCTACCTATATTAATGCAACCGAACACGCTTGTAGAGATTTTTGATGTGGAATTTAAAGAGTTCCGTGTAAAATTGATGATGTTCGGTTGATCAAACCTGTTGCAATTCTTCCAGATTGATATAAACACTGAATGTTGATTAGGTTGTTTTTTTGTCTGAAAGGAAAGAAACGTGAAATGCAATGACTTTAGGCACATCAGTTCTTCGGCACTTGCCTCCAGTAATATAAACTGCAGGAGTCGTCGCTACTTTATGGCCTTCATTGCTCTGTTTGTGTTCTTCTGGAATGACTGTTTCATTGTAATCCATTTCTGAAGATTGTAGTAGGCATGAGATGGCGGTCTGCCATAAACCTTCTTGGACATAGATCAGGCAGTTGACTCTGTGCTGGACATAGATCAAAGCGTGCAAGCCAACCAGTTCTTCTGGCAAGTAGTAGAGCAGATGACAAAATCACAAGTCTAAGAAAACTAGGCTCTTCCATCGAGCAATTGATGGTTCGATTTTCAGCCTGTTGCTGACAGCCTTGAAGAATCAATCTCTCTAGTGATAGACACCCGGAGAAATCAGTAGTTATGGTCAGCCGGTAGCATCTTGTGAGGTTCAAACCTTTCAGTTTCTGTGCACTCTGCTACAGAATTTACAAGAGAAAATAGCCAATGAGATGACATAATAGTTATACTAGTTTTAACTAACTTAGGAAATATATACTCACTACATATATTTCCATCCTCCCCAGTCATCAGTAATTTGGCTCTGCATGGGGGATTTAAACATATGTGTTCAACAAAGCATAAAAGTAGGAGTTCAAAAAAGCATAAATTGGTTGCAAGGCAGTAAAAAACATAAACATAGGAGCTCAAAAAAGGCTAGGAAAGCAAAGTAGCAACAGGTAGAGTTCTAGGAATCCAATCTCCTTCAAAAAGCTTCCTAACAACATCATCAGGAATGTTTATAAGTACTCTCAGACTTTTCTTTCTGTAGCTTCCTAATTGCAGCATGTGCATCAGCGCATCTGTTGGCCTCGCGCAATATGTGTGTGATCTGAAACTGCTGCAGCTGTCCCAAAAATTGCCTGCAAACATCAAAATCTTGTTTTTGTAAAGGATTATTCATTACTCGGTTTGAAAAGCTTTGACAAGATCCGCATCATCAATCTGAATCTCAGGCTTTTGCACATTTGACGCCAGAGCAAGTTGAATGCCATCTTTTAGTGCCCTACACTCAACCTCAGCTGGGTTTTGGGTACCAAAATGACACGCAAACCCTATTTTCTGATGGCCATGATTATCTCAGATCAGGCCTCCTCCTCCAGCACATCCGAGGGCTTCACCCACCGCATCATCGATGATTTATTTCCACCAGTCAACCTGCGGCGGAAGCAACCTAAAATGCACTGTAGTATTGCGTTTTCTGCTTAATTCTACTACCATTGACAGAAAAATATTCAGCCGTTTTTGACAGACATATCATGACAGGTTTCGCTGATGATCTGTCATTACCAAAAGCACTGTTGTTTCTAGCAATCCATAGAGACCACAGTCCCATAAGGAATAAAATATGCCACTGGACAGCAGGATTTTCATGCAATTGCTTCGGTCGGACATTTGATTTAATCCAATCTCTGACAGGCAGCACAATTGAGCAACACATGCCTGTTGGACACCAAGTTCATTCCAGATTCTTTTGGCAACCACACAAATTCTCAGAATATGTTCAGGATCTTTCTCTTCGCTGTTAAATTGAGAGCAAACCATGTCTACATTCATACCTCTATGAGCCAGAATTGATTTAGCAGCAATGCTATTATTGATAGCAAACTACATAAATTGCTTAATTCTAATGGCAGTATCAGCCTTCCACACCCACCTGCCTGCTGCAATTCCATGCATAGAATTCAAACAAAAGGAACCATTTTCGAAAAGTTCCAACAAACCTAATGTCCTTGATTTTCCCTGATGCAAAAAGGAACAAGTACTAATTTTCTTCAGGTAATCAGGAATATTAAAGGAAATTCTTGTAAAGTCCCAGCCCCCACTCCCCGTGATTCAATCCTTGACTCATACATAACTCCTCCTCTTCCCTAGCAAGAGGGCCTTCAATGAGGCTGCGAAGCACATCAGGACCCCTCCAATTCTGATTACTCCAATTCTGATTCCACAGACCGATATCAGACTCAGAGTCGATAAAAAATCTGATGCCTTCTCCGAAAACTTGATCCCACACAACCAATGCTTTCCAACTGCAGATGAAATTCTGATGGCAGTGAACAATATGCACCCGTATAATTGTAATTCTTCCTTCAGTCGAGCAAAGTGAATGTAATTCTTGTTTCATCCCACTCAATCTCATATTCCATTCCTCTCATTATGTTCCTTCCATCCCTGCGAACACAACATGTCATTTATCACTGAAAGGACAGCGAAAAACCATCATAAATTGTAATAAGCTTTGAAAAATGAGATTTGGAAGTATAGTAGAACATTCCATGTCTAAGTTTCTCTTGTATCCAGCCGCCTACTAGAAAAGAGAGAACTATTATAAAGTATTTGCGAGACTTCTTATCTGATGCCATCTTCATCACCACCGATCACCAAATATGGACAAACAAACACTGCAACTTTCTTATACAGTGATTTTCGTTGACACTTGAACAAACCAGCAATTTTATTTAGGGTTAATATCACGAAAAATCTCAAACTGATATATCTCTAATAAATTTACCCCAAATAAATTTTTTGACCGCCAAAAACCTCAAACTAGTACATTTGTGAAAAATTTACCCTCCATTGAATTAAATTAAAACAAAAAAAAATTATAAACTAGTATACCTGGGACAAACGATGGGTAAAACACTAAATTGGTACATTCGTTAACTGCCATGTGTCATTTAATTAAGCAATTTGACACTAAAATTTAACGGAAACTAATGGAGAGTAAATTTGTCACAGATGTACCAGTTTGGGGTTTTTAGTGATAAAAAAACTAGTTTGGGTAAATTTGTCCCATGTGTATCAGTTTGCAGTTTTTCGTGGTAATAACCCTTTTATTTATAGATTTTATCTATCCGTGGAAAGATGTTGATATTTACTTGCAAATTATAGCTCAAACCCAATGTTCTACATAGCAAATCCATACGGTTTCACTTCAAACCTTAATAAAGATCTAATGACATTGCTCATAGAAACGAGAAAACACTTCATGTATTGGTCGCGTGATCAAAATGATGGACCATCCGATGCGCTAAAATGATCATGTTGTCCACACGCGATGCATTTATCCAATCACTGATTTATTTTCAATTTTTAAATTTTTACAAGAGTTAGCTTAATTCGATACGTTAGATGTACATAATACGTTTAGATCTTTACTTGTATGATCAATAAGACGATCGAAATGGTAATAACGAGGTCATTTGTTTTTCACGAGGTCGCGAGCTTGATTTATGTCGTGAGTGAACGGTTCATGTTATGATTGTCTAACTACGACATACATCACGAGACTTCCTAACTGCTAGTATTTTGATAGGGTTACCGAGGCGGGCTCGTGTCGATCTCCCTCTCTCACTATATTATTTATCCCCCCCAAAAAAAAAAAAACAGAGAAGAAAAATCTCCCGTTTGCCCAAGCTCCGCCCGTCCCGTTCCCTTCGCATTTCAAACAACATCTCAGACGAAGTGAAACGGCGGTGCAAACCGGTCGTCCAATCATCAACCGACACTCTCTCTCTCTCTCTGTGAAACCTTAAATTTCAAAAGAGAGACCTTTAGTTTCAAAGGAAGGAGAAACCTTTCTTCACCGCCTCTCCCTCTCCGTCTCTGCTCTCTTCTCTAGCCATGGGGGACCTCGTCTGCAACCTCCTCCAGACCCTTTACTGGCAGTTCTGTGAACCAGACGACGACCCATCTCAAGGCTCTCAGTCTTCTTCTTCCTCCTCCTCTCAAGCGTCCACCTCCGATACTTACCTCGTCGGCTTCATCATCGCCAACATAGTCGGGATCCGCCACTATTCCGGCACCATCAGCGGCCGCGAGATGGTGGGCCTCGTCCGCGAACCCTTGAATCCCTACGACGAGAACGCCATCAAGGTGCTCAACACCCGGACCGTCCAGGTCGGCCACGTCGAGCGCGACGTGGCGGCGGTGTTGGCCCCTTTGATCGACTCCCGGTTGATCTCTGTCGAGGGCATTGTGCCCAACACTCGTAGCGGCGGGAGCAAGTTCAGGATCGCCTGCCAAGTTCACATATTTGCGAGGGTGGAGGCCTTCGACCTCGTGAAGTCGGCTATTTCGCGAGGTGGGTTGGTGCTCATTTCGGACGCGGGTGCTTCGTTTGCCTTGTCGGAGGCGGTCGTGGTGAAGGAGAAGAAGAAGGGTGGGAAGGAGGCGAGGAGTGTGGATGAGATTTTTAAGCTGGTCGACGAGAATGTCGGGAAGAAGGCGAAGATGGAGGCCATGGAGCCGCCGAGAGAGGTGATTAAGTCTGTGCTGTTTGAACATCAGAAGGAGGGTTTGGGTTGGTTGGTTCTTAGGGAGAATTCCGGGGAATTGCCGCCTTTTTGGGAGGAGAGAGATGGCGAGTATGTTAACGTGTTGACGAACTATCACACAGATAAGCGGCCGGAGCCTCTGCGAGGCGGTATTTTCGCGGATGATATGGGGTTGGGTAAGACTCTGACTTTGCTTTCTTTGATTGCTTTTGATAAATTTGGTAGTTCTATAGCATCCAGATTTGGGCACGGTAGTGTTGGTGTAAACAGTGGTGGTGAACAATGTGGGGATGATGAGGTTCCATCTGATTCGGCTAAGAGAAAGGGTAAGAGGGGTAGAACGAGTAAAGGGGTTTCTCAGTCTCAAAAGAAGCGTAAAACTCGAAACATTGGTTCGACTAGCAATTGGAAGGCAACATCTTCGAGTCTAGATGATTATACGCCTGATGTACTGAGTACCAAATCGACATTAGTTGTGTGCCCTCCATCTGTGTTTTCCACTTGGATTACGCAGCTAAGCGAGCATACTATACCTGGGAAGATGAAAGTGTATATGTATTATGGAGACAGGACGAGAGATGCCGAGGAGCTTAGGAAATATGATAT